TCACTCGACAAAAATCTGTGTGCACGACTGCGTGCTTGGTCTCACACCTCGTTCAATAACCACCGGTTTTCACTCTATCAATAATTTCAAAGGTGCTTTTCCTATTTTATTTTCATTTTAATGCAGTTTTATAGATCTATTGTCTATTGATTCATTCTTAATTTAGTTACCTGCTATGCACCTGTTATCATGTTCAGTTCATATATTGTTATTCTATGAAATTGTTGCTCAGCGCATTCGTGTAGCTTAGCTATCTTATTTTATATGTTTATCGGCGTCCAATCTTTGTTGGAAAAATACTTCTGTAAATATGTTTTTGTTTGGGTGAATCTATTTTTCTGTTCCGTTTGAATTTTAATATGTATAATTATGAGGTAGACGGATATGTAGGGATTTTCATGTCACTAGCATTGAGATTTGGATGGAATTTTTGTGAATTTTTTATTCTTTCGAGCCTGTATGCATAACATTTTTCTTTTCTTTTCTTTTTTTTTAAATTTTCTCATGATAAATGAAGTACGTGAATTTTCATGGATTTACAGCTACTTACTATATTGTATTTTTTATGATGTAAATTCTGGTTATCAATTAATTTGGAGGAAGAAATTTCATAACTATTATATAGATAACACCAGAATGTTGATCCACGAGGTATTCAACCGATTACAAGGATTTTTTTTGGCTGGAGGGTTATTCACTTTACTGGGGCTGCTATAGATTCGATATCAATTGTCTGGTTTTTAGAATTAAAACATAAAATGGAATTTGATCATTATTGATGCAGCAAAAGAAAAGAATTCAAACGAAAACCTAGAGATCATAAATTTTGGAATCCACCAAATTATGGAGAAAAATAAACTTTACAAATTTTATTAATGAATAATAATTAAAAAAAAAGAACTGACCCCTTATTTATAAGGATTTACATGGAAACGTAGTTTAAAATAACTAAAAGTAATGAAAATAGAGTCTAAACAAACTAGAATTACAAAAAAATCCAATGTAAACGAATTTACAAAAATAGCACCAAAACTTTAAAAATCAGTATTCGAGTCCTAAACGAACTCGAATGGCCGAAATTCATCGTACATCACGGCATAGCAGTGAGTATTGTTCCCCTCATCGTTTTCTTTTCCAAATGGTCTTATAGGCCCGATCTAAAATTAAAATGTTCTATTTTTACTAGTACTCTTTTTTCAATATACATATTATGTCCTACATTAGAGGAGCATGGAGGAACCAAAGAAGGTTCTCAATCCGAAAATGGAGGCTTTGTTATTTTTTTTTTTTTGTATAATTAAACAAAAGGGTCAAATCGTCCAAGTATTACAAAAATAAAAAGATTAGAAACGAGGCCACCGAAATATTAGGTTGGGAACCTAACTTGCTCTTTTCAGTAGGTTTGGGGAGCTGTAACTTTCACATTATCGTAGATCACTGTTAACAGTAGTTTGAGCCTTCAAAATTTCATCGTAATTGGAGTTAAAACATTGAAGTTAATCAAATGATTTGTGGATGCTCTTACCGTATTGAATTAAGAGATGGAATTGAAAAAAAGATATGGCAAGGGAATTTATTAAGGTAGATTACAATGTTTTATTTTAACATGGTGCCTTGATGACGTATTGAATAAGCATAAAAAATTTTGGTGTTTGAGCCTCATTTTTATTGAAATTGTATTTTGTAATCGTACTTTTTTTTTTTTTTTTTTTTGGAAAGAAATGTGGTTAAAAAGTAGAAAAATGTTTTTAAGTTTATATATAAAACTATTTTATTGAGATAATTTATGATTGAAAACGAGTTTGGAGTGAGTTTTTGAAAAATTGAGATAAAACATGGGCTTAAATAACCTTTTTTCTATAAATATATTTTTGGAATACTCTAGTTTAATTTTTTTTTGTTTTTAAAAAAAA